CAGTTGCACCTTACGCCTCTTTGCTACTTGCACTAACTAGGCCAAACCTCTGTCTTACATATTGCAAACGGGAGATTTAATATGACACTATAACAATCAGGCTGGTAGACTAAATATACATGCATATGGAATGGAAAGACATGATTGACATGTATGAGAAAAAAACGCTGGATTCAATGCAGTAATCACCTCTGATTATTATATTCATACATATCATGTCCCCAAACAGTTGTAAGAGAGACATCATGATTGTTCAAATTATGAATCAATATCGTTGCAAGAGCAACTATCACCGCTGTATGGTACTTGTAATGTGGAAGTTCTGTACAAACTTGAATACCAGGCCCATGATGAAGAACCAAAGGTTTCTTGCAATTTGTGAACGTGCTACCAGGAGTCGCCATAAGATCACAACTACTATCGTGTTGAAAGTATATCGGATGTTGCGTAATCTGGATGGAAGAAAACAAAATATACTAAACAATTATCACAACAGACAATACCAGATATTAGTGGTAATCCCAAGACTACAATAAATACCTAGCTATAACAAATAAAAGGAAATAATGTTTTTCCTACTTGTACTCTTTCATTTGGCAATTTTTCCAACCTCTTTTTGTTTTTGTCTTTTTAAAATCTTTTTTTTTTTAATTATTTGATAATTATCATTTGTAATATATATATATAAATTGTTTGTAATATATTTAGTGCTCACTTTCTGATGTGTGCTCTGGCTGCTGGTAGTCCTGAGAGATCTTCCTGAAGAGTGTACATCTTAGCACCCAGACAGTAGCCCTCTATGTAAGAAGGCCAGTGGAGAGGACGTGGATCTAGGTAAAAAGTCTAGAAAACCAAACATAAACACAATTATTCACGAAGAAATTAAAGAAATTTCTGGAGATTTAAAGTTGTCTGGCATTTGCTTGAGGAGCCCCGTTTTTCATTACAATTAAATAAATTTAAATACTTTCAAGAGTATATCTTCTACCTGAGTGTGTGAAATCCAGAAAAGAAAAAGTATAACGAATGAAAACAAAGAGAAATGTTTTCCACACCTTCTTGTCTTCTGCACTTAGTTTACTGAGCAGAACATCTCTGTTATGATGTGTCCACTCCCACTGGCGATGTGTAAAGTACTCAAGTGTGCCCATGATTTTGTGCACTTTTTCAAAAATTCGGACCATCCTGGAAAAAATAGGACAAGTCATTTCAAAATTGCACTGATATCCGAAATTCTACACTGAATTTGAAACAGGGGCCAGAGTCTTTTGAAAGTAACAAAATAAAAAAGAATTAACCTGTTTACAACATTGAAATGTTAAATGCAAACAGAAAAGTAAAATTGAAATTCTTCCTTGTATTTTACTTAAATAATCATGTCACTGTTTAAATATTTACACAATACACAACAAACCTAGTGCCAAAGACTGTAATAAATAAATAAATAAATAAATATTATATCAATTTACCTTGGCTTCTGACCAATACATCTCAATCCCAGGTCAGTCAGGTAAGCTGGAATCAAGTGGCTGACCACCACCCAGTAGTTGTGGAGCCAGCTGAAAAGTTAAAGAAATGAACAGATTTAAGTGCCAAAATATACCTTTATCCAAAGGAATATGAAAGCATTTTAATCTAATAATGACAGACAGATAAAAAATACAAAATACTGTCAAATAAATCACCATCATTTAAGTGATTTTTTTTTTTCAAATTAGACATCTACACACAATCTCCTAGCAAAATTCAACACTATGGGAAATATCATTTGATAGTCAATCACAATGAAAAGTTTTTTTTTTTAAAAAAAACAGTTTACTTCTTCAAAGGAGGAATGCATATTCCATTTTAACTTATTATATTTCATTTTAACTTATTATATTTCTTATTATATTTAGGAAGACTGCTAAAACAACTCTGAACTAAAACATGGCATCTTTTTTGGGGTACAGCATGTTTTGGGCAACATAAGTAAAATGCTGCTAACATCCATGGGGCAGGCTTTGAGAGATGGACAGACAGATAGGTAGAGGTAGTTATAATATTTACAGACAATAAAGTTGTACAAAAAATTTGTTTTGGATAATTTTTATGTTGTTTAAAAATACACTGTGACCTACCCATCTTTGGTCATTAAGACAGTCTTTGGTCTGCGAAAGCAGTTGTCAAGTGGATATGACTTCCAATATTTCATTACAAGTGGTTCTGAAATTATATATATATACTGCTGAGAAACTAAATTCACAAAATACTTTCATTCATTTAACAATTCTGAAATGTTTATTTCAATAAATATGCCTTTATTTATGTAAAAATAATTAAATGAAAAATAAACATTAAGAAGGGTGTTTTGAAAGTCTTTGGGAAAATGGAAGTAATTTTACTTAAAAAAATTCCTGGCAGTCAAATATATGTGTCTCAAGTATGTTCTCACTTAATTCATAATAAAAACATACCTAAAGTAAAGGCAAGGATACAGGACATAATCTCAAGTATAAAAAAATGTACCCTAGGGTAGATAAACTAACCCATTTCACCCCACGTCACGGGATTCTCATTGCCAATGGTAGTGTGGTAAATTAAGACCTCCTTTGGTTTGTGCACCACTGTGTGCCAGGCTGCGGCTATAATCATGTTAACACACAGGTCCACTGGGATGATATCAGCAACAGCATTGGGATCGCCTTTGGAGATTTTCAGTAGACCTTTACCAGCCTGTAAGAATATTTATAGAATGTTTTGTTACAAATAGATGCAAAATGTTAGCAGAAACTGGAGTTCAGTCATACTTTAAGTTTAATGTGAGATAAATTATATAAGATGCTTGCTTCCTTTAGTTAACCATTTAAAGTGTATGAGATTGTCATTTTAATGTATCTTATTACTTTAATTACAAGTCAGGAGTATTTAATTTGAAACTGGGAAACTGCTGAGTTCAGGCTTCAACTTGGATAATACTTTTCAATATCTTATAACTTTATTGTTAAATATTTTATTTACCGCCACATAAAGGCCACCAGGTCCATTCAAGTTATCTATCCAGCCCTGGAATAAATACAAATATAGCGTAAGGCATCGGCCTTGTCCCATTTAATACTGGATACCTTCCATGGCATCTATTCCAGTATTTTTTTTAATGCTCCAAAATGCCCAAGTGCAAGTAATAAACTTGTACATGCAGCAAAGTGATTTCATATATATTTTACGCAAACACTTATAAACTGATTTTGTTGAATAAAAGCTTCAAGGTTATCAAAGAAAAAGTTTTATAATTGGTTGTGAGAACTGTATACACGGTAGTAAGCCTGCTTACAGAAACTGGTTCTCTCCATGCAGCTCCCACAATCGATGGCCTGACAATGGCCAGGGGAAGGTCCTTGGCTTCTGTTACCAGTATGTGCTCTGCCAACTGTTTGGTGTAGGTGTAAGTGTTGGGTTTATCCCCTATCAACTGGGGAGTTATCTTATTCAGCATTTCATCGGTCATCCACCTGGATCAATGAATTATAAGTAAGGCCCATTACTGTACAAATACCTAAATTCTATGATTATGTCAGATAAGCTGCAGGTGGTCATTTCAAGTGAAACTTGCAGACATTTCAAGTAAGGCCCACAGACGTTGCCACAAGTGGTCATATCAAGTAAAACCCACAGACACTGCTGCATAGACATTGCTGTAGATGGTCATTTCAAGTTCAGCAACAAATGCAAAAAGTAAAATTTCCAAAAGCCCTATAAAGTCTAAACGTGCCATATGTACTTACTCTGCTGCTTCAATCAGTTTATTTGGGTCACAGGGAGGAGGGTATACAACTTCTTCTATGAAATGACGATCACAATTGGCATATGCTGTAGAAACGTGAAGAAAAACCTGAAAGAGATATAGAACAATCAAAGTATGAATTATATTTTTTTAGTATAAACTGAGCCACTGTGGAGGTGATAGCCTTATGCACTTTTATAAAAACTGGTTATGTATATATTTGTTAAGAACATGGAAATGTTGCCTTTCAGAGTTTCAAGATGTAAGGAAGAATTAAATGACATGAGAAAAACACATTTTGTAATGCCAGCATACTTCATATCTGATTAAGAAAATAAATAAAAAAGATATTTCCCTTTGCCTTCCTCTGGTGTTAGAGTTGGTCATTCAATATTCTCCACAGACTATTAAACACTTAGAAATATCAACATCCACCTCTGTCTCCTTAGAAACCATTCACTAAATATAAAGCTATGTATACTAGCAAATTGCTTTTCAAAACTTACATCTAGGTTTTTAATTTTTCTGCATAATGTAATCATCTTTTTAATGGCAATTGTATTCATCTCTAGGGCAACCCTGAAAATAATAATAAACAAGGCAGCAAAGCTGTCAAATGTACAGACAAAAAGAAGGAAAAAAACAAAATAGGGTACAGTCAATTCTGATGCAAAAGTACATTATGTTAAACTGCAAATTCAACATCAAATTTTAATTATGCTCAACAGGTAATTCCAATGTAAGTAAAATGTGTAACAAGCATAAGGCTTCAGTCCCATAGGAGTTCAAGTTCACACTCTGAAAATGTATAACTTCCAGAAAAAGAAGTCAATTAGACTGATTTTCCAACTCAGGCTGCATTTTAGTCCTGTATTTCTTTTTTGAAAGTTTGGCAATCATAAGTAACATGGTTTTCCCATAATGGTTTTCATGGCAGCAGCACCCAAAATTGTGTGTTCTTCTATTCTGATGCAATATTACATAATGGTTAACAGCATAATGACAATCAATTTTTAATAATAAAAAAAAGGTATCATGGATTTTCAGAAAATGTGACTAGCATGGGTCTTCAAGCCTGTGGAACTTCAAAGTCACACCTTGAAAATGCCAATATGTGAAAAATTAAACTTTCACAAAAAAACTGTTTAACCGGCAGAAAGAATTACCAAACAGATTGCATTGCCTACTGAAGGTGTATTGAAGTCCCATGTTTCTTTCTGTAAGTTTGAGAACGNGCTGATGATTTTACAACCACCATCGTTGGGTCATGAATAAGGATTGTTTGTTCATCACATTCATATTATACAAAGGGTTATCTGACTACATTGGATCAGTTAATTTGCATTTGATATAGGGTTTTTCATTGTCATTGAAAGAAATAATGTAAGCAAGACAAAATGATGTTTTTGCTCACATATTAAATTTATTGAAAACTACGATAATTATTACAATTGTAATTAATTCAAAATTAACTTAACTCGCACTCTTGAGGAGACCTTGTTAGGGCATATTTAATAATAAATAATTTAATGCTCCGAGTGAAGAAAACAATCTTTGAGTATAAATTCTCTGCTCTGTTTGATCCTCCAGGGCTCCGTATCTCGAAAGGTTCGCTATATTGCGCAAGTGTCTCGATTCCATAACCGATTCTATTTCGAGATACGGGTCCATAGAATCGAGACGTTTGCGCACGTGCTCAACATAGCGAACCTTTAGAGATACTGAGCCCAGTACAGGGGCCCCGTATCTCGAAAGCATCGCGTATTGCGAATCGCTATATCAAAAAGAGGCTACAGTGTATTATATGGGACGAGTATGGGCGAGTAATGGAATCGAGACGCTTGCGCACGTGCGCAACATAGCGAAGCTTTCGAGATACGGGGCCCAGGTCGTCTTATCTGATATGCTGTAATCGTCCGTTAGAATTCAGTCAGTTTAAGTCTGTCAGCCAAAAGGTGAAGTCCCACTGCCAAAGTGGATTTTGCAAATATTTACAAAGGTAATCTTTATTATGCAACAAGCCCCAGCGACGTAATCAAAACTTCATGGTTCAACTTCGAGGTCCAAGTCGAAGACATTTAAGCGCACTACCTGACTACCTTTGTAGTTGGTATGTATATGTTTTAAATACTGATATACTGTATTATTGTTTACAGGGCTGAGAAAAATTATGTTAAATTGTTTTATTGCATTTAACAATATCTAAAGACTTTTAATTTAAAGGACTTTAAAAGATATCCATTAAAAGAGTTTCTTTGAAATATAGAGATGCATTGCATGATAGAGCAACTGATTTAACTGACCACATGAATGTATCCCAATGAAAAATGCATTTATTATGTTTTTCATATATATATATGCAACTTACTTTATTTGTTTTGGCAGGAAACACCATTTGTGCAACTTGTGTGTGTTTTGACAAAAGTTCTCTTTTCATAAATTACAAATACAGTATGAGTCATTAGAGTGCTCTAGGACATAAACTATTGACTGTATCTCTTTTTTCACTATTTCTTCATTTCCTTGTCTTCATGTAACAGAAATAACATACATGATTTTTCATGAAAATATAACGCATACAAATTAAGCATCTATATGTGTTGAAATGACTTACGTGCCCTAATAAAGAAAAAATGATCAAAATGTTTTGATTTTTATGGTAAGAATTAAAGCACATGCCCTAAATTTTAGAGGCCAAAATCACTGGAAAATTACTTTACACATACCGTTTATTTATAGTTTAGCACTTTTTAAGTTTCAACTATGGAGAGTAACAATGATACGTCTGAAGTACCCCTGGGATTAAAAGGTGTTACCCCTCACCCTGAAGTATTCACCATCCCCCCACCACAGCCTAAAGAAAAGAAACCTGGGCAGCTCACCTCACAGCAGGTCCATCAATTCTTTGACGAGGTATGTGGGTATTTTGCTGAATTAGATATTCAACAAAAATTATTTACGTCTGTACTGTATTAATTTTGTGAAACATTTTGGATAATAACAAAGCAGAGGGAAGGGTAGAGTTGAATCCTGATATTCTGGATAAACACCATCGGCAGGTTTTACAATTTACACCTGTATCTTTATTCATTCCTGTATCTATCTCACCTTCCTGGGGAGGATACAATTAACCAGGCTGCTGCATACGGGGTGTGTGTTTAATGAGTATTGTTTGCAAATACTGGCAATACCATGGCCAGGTCCTAACCCTCATGTTTGAGTGCTGTATACTTATATCTTTAAATAAAATTTTGTTGTAATACCTGCTAAAACAATTTTGCTGTTTATAAAAGAAAGGCAGATAAAATGTTTGCTCTATACCATATAATAAACCTCTCTGGCAGAGGTAAATATGACGATGACCCCTTAACACTTCTATTTTTTTGCAGGGGTATGTTTTAGTTGAAAACTACTTCCAGAATGGAGAACTTGAAGCTTGTAAAGAAGCAGTCAACGGACTGGTTGATGAATGTGCCAACAAACTGTACAATGGAGGAAAAATCAAAAGTATGGGCCACCACTCTCATTGTAAAATCCAACTGAAAATTGATGTCTTTCAATATTTTTCATTAAAATTTCATTTTTGCAAAGTGAAGTTATTTCTTACTCTTATAGTAAAATTATTTTATCTTTATAATGTAACTTCTCTGAATATTTATTTTTATTGTAATTATTTTTTGTAGAGTTGTACAAGGAATTGGGATTATTTAAAAGACTGACTGCCATAGAAAAGGAATTTCCAGGAGCCAACATTGTCTTCATAAAATCTGGCAAAATGCCACAGGTATATGGTATCAGGACAATCCCCGTCAATTCCTGGCGATTCGTGGGATTCGTGGTCTGTGAGAAATTGGGGCCTTATCCAGGTATCCCTGTGACTATTTGTCACTTAATTGCTTGACCACCACCCACCATGCACCCACCACACTAAAATATTTATAAAATATCTGTTTACCTGTTCATCTGTTTACCCCACTTTTACCTGAAGGATAGGTGGTTATACTTCGATTAGATACTTAATAAATCTTCCTGTACTTGTACTCAATGAAAAGGGAATTTGTTATAAAATAATTTGTTTCATGATGAAGTTATGTTATCACACTAAAAATGTTAATAAAATAGATGAAATGTTTTAAACTTTACACTTTCTACTTTATATTTGTATATAAATATATATTTCTTGGGGGGGAATCGTCCGGGGGG